CGGTGAGGTAAAATGGCCATAGAAAAGAGTGCTGCAAACAATACCGGGTCCCTATTCCACATCTCCTCACAACTACCTTTGACAGTGGGCCGGAACCCAACAAACCTGGTTCCCACCCCATAGGAGGCCGATGACCCCGAAGAGGCCATCAACGTGGAGGTACCAAATGAGTGACGTACGGGGGTCGGGGGTCCTATGTCCCTTGCGGGCAAAGATGGGAGAGCAAACAGGGGGCTCGAGCACTGAGCGCCAGCTTGAAGCAATTTGAGGTGGGCGGGACTGATGTCGCCGACAGTGTTGTTGCATGGTGGATGGTGGGTGATCAACACCCGATGGGTATATCGCCTTGTTGTCGTCCCTCAGAAAGTGAAACGGGGTGGAGTGGTGATGACATCCCTAAACCGATGGTGATAGATGTCGCATAATTTAGTGGAGGAGAGGGAGGATAAAAAGTTCCCACGGGGGGATGGTACTGGTAAGAGAACAAGGCGAGCTGATATATATATATATATATGTTCGCAGCTCGGCATGGGACATATGTTCGTCAGGGGCGAATTTGCCTACTCCATCCAGGGACACATCAGCCTCGGAACTGGTCGTTCATCTCTTCATTCCATCCAATCTTTGAATCACGAGGTGCGACTTGGATACGTTCGGGTCATCAGCACAGCTGAATGCTTGAAATCATGTTAAGCCCCTCAGCTTGCTAAATGAATTGACATTCCAGCTCCTATCTCTGGCTTGGGTAGCTCCCAATGTTGCGCTACTGACTCTCAGTTACGTCAACATGTCCATCATGTTGCTCAATGTAGCAGAGACAAGGTATGTTACCTCTTGGCTTGTTGTTTCTCCGTGATCATCTAACATTACGACTAAGTTGAGGCTCGCAGAGTATTTTGACGACTCGTAGATCTAGCCTGGTGACCTCATGGCCCAGATCCTCCACCCTGATGCTACGTATGAATCAAAGGCTGGTCCTGGGATGGCCGATGACTCCGGTATCAATGCGGCTCTCATACATGTCTAACAAGCGGTATGACGAGTTCTTATGTCATTAGGATAGTCAGGACTGCCCCAGAGGAATTGTTTCGAATTTATCTTCATTTTTCGCCCTATTTTCCCGAATGTCCCGCTTTGTTGTTCGTAAGTGGCTGTAGATGTGGGGCAGTCCCGCCAAAAATGTTCGTTTGCCCGTTCCATGAGACATGGGACGAGCAAACGGTAGAAAAAGTACAGTATTGGCCAACCCGTAGCCTTGTACGAAAATATCTAAATTCCCTCGCTCCAGCTGCTAGCTTATGTCGAACTACGCTATAATATCAAGTATTCCTTCCTGGATCTCAGAGAAACCCAAAGACGACGTGAAAAGGATCATCTCGTGCAAGTCCTCCGACTGGTGCAATGGCCCACGCGAATATCAGGTCGCCAGCTGGGCAAGAACTCTGACTGGTATATCTCAGGTCGTGGTGGGCCCAACCGGCGGCGGCAAGACTGCTCTACTCGTTGCTGTCGTACCTCTTCTCGAAGCTCTCAAATCCGAGCGTCTTGATGGTGCTGGGGTGGTGCCCGAATGGCCGGTGGCGCTGATCGTGAGTCCTTTGAATGAGTTAGGTTCAACGCAGGTGAGACGCATGGGACACCACAGCTCCCCACAGGACACCACTCAAACATCGCTCCTCCATTCCCCGGTATCAAGGTTAACTCAAAGAGATCATCAGTCAACAACGTTTCTGATGGCGCGTTACTATAGCTTATGATTCCCTTTGTTTGCAGGCTGCACGAGCCATGCTGCATGGGAGTGCAGTCGGCTCGAGTTAGGTGTTGGCTGGTTGGCCAGCCCGAACTTGTTGCGACATCTGTCCTCTTGTGTCTGGTCGAACGTCTTTTCCGGCGAGGTTTCGACTCTACTGAAACCATATCCCTGCTTAAATGATGCCGCAATATCAGATGCAGTGATTTTGGGCGGCGGAGACACATGGGCATGTGTTAACGGACTTGATAGCGGAGGTGAGTTTGATCTCCAACCTTCAAGATCCGTTTCCGTAACATGAAGATATCGACAATGATATCTGGCTCCATCCTGAAGATGGCGCAAATCCTCGATCCGGACGGTATTTTAACACGACGGGTTTGTCTCAGTCGGGTCTGGGCTTGGCTGATGACCCGGACCTCGATGTTGACTTTTTAGAAGTGCCGAGAGGGGATAAACTGCATCGAGGGAAGCCACACAAAGTTTCTACCAGAAAATAAAATGAGTTCTTAGGCCATTAGATGCTCCTACACGCGTCGTAGATTTTTGTTATGAATTTATCTCATTTTTAGCGCTATTTTACCAAATGTCCCACCTTTTGGCTCACAGGGTCACATGGAGGTGGGACAGTCCCACCCTAATTGGCTCGCTCACCCGGTCCGTGGGACATGGGATGAGCGAGCGGTTGAAAAACTACAGTAATTACATGTGTTACTTCCAGTTTATACCGTTTTTTGCACTTGAGCACCCAAGAGTGGCGATAAGAGAATAAGGCTGAGACAGGACAGAAGGCCATATTACGGTTGAGTTAGATGTCAAACTACCGAAATTACTGAGAATTGACTACAGTTGAAGTGCGTGTGATATCAACTAAGCGGTCATACGGTTGAAAGTTTTCCCCGTGTTTATCACTGTAGTATGAGTAGGATACGACACCTCAACTTAATTAACGATTAATCCTTGTTTACTAGTCAACCGCGAACGTGAATCAAGAGTTTTATGGGTACAGAAAGTCCATGAGAGACCACTACTGGAATTTCGGGGCAAAGTGCCACTAATATATGTTAAATCTGCCACGGAACTTCCGGGACCGCAATGAAATCGCTAAAAATGGCAAACAGAGTGACAGCACCGTAGCTTAAGGTTGTCCGCGATCCACTATTGGCTATGTATGAGAAATGTACAGCAGAAACGGAGGTGATATGCGATGGAAAATCTAGATATTTTAGGGTAGCTATTTCTAGTAATGCCCATCTAGTGCATTCCAATCTGCAGCAGCAACACTAAAGTTAAAACCAAGCATAGCCCCGGAGCCAAACACCAGTTCTCTAAGAAGGATGGACATAGAAGAAAGAGAGGGTCAACACACTCTAGTAATCCCGACAATGCCCCGGTGTGCCGGTTACAAGCCGGTTATGCAGCAGAAGTACCCGGGACACTCACTCCTTGGGTACGAGCAAGGATGTCTGAGATATAGTAAAGCAGCTCAGTTATAGAACGGCTCTGCAGGTGACACGGTACTCTTTCCTCAAACCTGACTGCATATAATAGATGTACCACTATGAGAACACTGAGAGAGAGAAACATGTTGAGGAGGTACTGCACGCTTGCGTTCGTTTTATGTGTCAGTCCGTCAAAGCATTACCATTTCAGGAATAAGTCGAATGTTGCTAAGCAATTACATCACACAGAACGCCACACCAGGAAACACCAAATTCAGATAAAGCTCTCTGAAAATCCAGTGCAAAATGCAATGGAGAACGCCACGGAAGTTTCAGGCCGGAGCTTCAAGGCAATAAAATAAATATATAGTGGCAAACAATTTTAACGATACAGTGGATATGGTGGATGGACATATTATACAGTCCATCGTTGTCCGAGGGTCTCGGCTCAGCGGACGGTCAAAACGTCCGATGGTCTCGGTTCAGCGGACGTCGGCTGATGAGTGTAACCTCTCGGATGAGCCGACTTTATTCACACTATGCAATGGTGTCGGGGCGGCCCATGACAATGTAACTACATTATTATATGTTATATTACCTTATATTGACATTATATATGCTGAGCTACTATGATCTGAGGCCGACCACATATTTAGATTGTGTCGAGAGAGCCTGCATGTACAATCAGCCAAATAAATAAC